TGGGCCTTGCAGAGAAGAGACAACAGGAGAATGGAGGAAATATTTGTCGTCGCACTTATTTCCATTTTTGTTGCAGCTGCGGATGTTTGTTTTTGCGTGTCTATATGTATATCAAAAGAATTCATGAATTTTTATACTCTTTGATCATTACGTGCGTTCATGTAGAAGCAATAAATTTAGATTGAAGAACAATTTGAAGAAATTTTCTCAAAGTGAAATGCATTATCTTTAACTAGTATATGTTTGTTTTATGTTCCATTAATACGGACAACACTGTAGGTATACATCAACCTTGATTGTAAAAAATATATGGAAGACTTATACATATTATAAATGACATTAAAGTTTTAATATTGGTCTAAACCAATATCTGAAAAACCGAGAGATTTTTTAATAAATTGTTGATATACAAAAAAGAAAAAAAAAACAGTTAACCAAACATACACAAAGCATATCTCAAAAATTTTATTAAATTTATTAAGATACTATACAAAATTTTTATAATCAGTTGGATTAATAAATAGACAAGATAATTACATTTTTTACAATTATAGTACAGTATATATCTCGATTTTTACATTGCATTTAGTTATTTAAAGGCACTCTATACACTGTAGAACAAATACTCGGCGTATATAACACTGTAGAGATTTCATAACCAACTAAGGAGGTCCTAATTTTTTATATCTTTTTCATAATAACTATAGGCCACAGTATAGACAAATTTATACTGTGTATAGGCTATGTTAGTTTGACGTCACGTAATTTTTGGAGGTTAGGTTTGTCTAGATTCTAAACAAATCTCTAACAATTATTTTTAAATTCTTTTGGACATTTCAGATTAATTCTTAATTTATTTTTACTATGTACATGACAAAATCAGAATAGAATGTTGCGTAACTATAGTTACGAAAATTATAGAAAAAAGTACATTTTAACTTTGAATTTCTTATTAGATATTGATGCCAACTTTCTTAAGTGAAATGCCCAATAAGAAAGAAAGTCATGACTTTATCTTGCTTTATCAAATGTTACAATAAATTTGATTGGTGTATGACTTCAACAATATTCATGATTTTGTTATGTACAGCTCACCCAAGTCGACTGGCCGGTGAAACGCGCAGAACTAAATACGTACCACCGGCAAAGCTACTTTTGGTTAGCGGTATCTAATTATTATTGTCAAATTATTGTCCTAAACTTGTTACTACATATTATTATATAAATACCCCTTATTGTTTTGAACAAAGATATGACTTAGTGGTTAAGTAATATTTACAGTGCTATATGCTTTATAAATATGGCTGTACCTAGCCTATAAGGCTCAAATGACTAGTTAACACATAGAATATAACAAATTTCGCGATTTTTACCGATATATATTCATCGAATATATTCTTTTGTTTAAAACATGGTTGCCAAATTGGTACAATAGGATTTAAAATCAGGAATTCATTGTAGTAAGATATATATTTTTACAAAAGACAGTTCATATAGTTCTAGTTCAGAAGCTCAAAAGAAGACATTCATAAGTTAAGCCTGCAATGGCTTAGCGAAACTGCGTCGCCTTGACTTAGATAATCAGAATGTTTAGTTGGATATTTTCAACAAAACAAAACGATTTATTAGTTAGGGAGGATCTACTGTGTTGAACAACGTTAATCGGTGTTAAAGTAAACGACTTAATATGAAAACGAAAATAAATTCTGATTTCCCACTAATGTACCAATTTCCAAACCATTTCTTTTCTAATTAACAATTTAGCTTCAGCAGTAAGTTCTTAAATCTCCTAATAAACGCGATGATGATGTTTTCCTTCATGAAAAAATAGATAAAATTAAAAATGCTTTGTCGGTAAATGTAAAAATTGAATGTTATGGTCCCTGACTAAGTAGACATTCTTCAAAATGTCTTGAAGCACCAAATTAACAATTATTTTTGAAAATGTTCACCTTTAAAAATTACATCTCATACGATTAAGATGTAAGTAAGGCATTTACCTCCTCCCATTGACTCGACACTTTCATAGAATATTGGATGCTGATTTTGAAGGTTAAATTTTAAATATAAACGCAAATTCATCATGAAAGATGTTTCTGTATAGCATGTCCTTGTTTTACGTAGTAAAAACCAATGCGTAAGCAATAATTTGGTGCTGTAAGCTTTGTAGGTAGATTTTTCACCATTTACATGTTGGTCAGTATTTGCCAGGTGTTGAATTTACTATTCAAGTTATATACTTCATAATCATCATTGGTGCTACAGCCCTATAACAGAGCCTGGACCCTCCCAAGTCTATTACGCCAGTCAGTTCTATCCATTATCAACTGTTGCCAGTTTGCTGCACCTATTTTTCTACCATCCTCATCTACACCCTCCCTCCATCTGAGTTTTGAGCTACCCCTACTTCTACTTCCCAGGTTGTGACATAAGGAATTCTTCTAGGAGGGTTGTTCTGCTGTGATCTTGCCAGATGTCCTGCCTATCTTAGTCTTCCTATTTTTATAAGAGATACTACGTCTTTACCAGGTGTATATCTGTGATATATCTCGTAGTTGTACCTCCTTCTCCAAACACCATGTTCACAGATGTCACCAAATAGTCTTCTCAGGATGCTTCGTTCAAATATAAGCAGGAGGTTTTCATCTGCCTTGGAAATGATCCATGTCTCCGATCCATAAGTCAACACTGGTTGTACAAGGGTTTTGTATATGGTTATTTTTGTTTTTTTTTTGGCTTAAGTTTCTGCTTCTCATATGTCTACTCAAACCAAAATAGCATTTGTTTGTTAGGATTATTCTTCGCTTGATTTCTTTAGTCATGACGTTCACCTTGGTGATCAGGGAGCCTAAGTATGTGAATTTGTCCACCACTTCTAAGGTAGAGTTACCAACCGTGAATTATTGGCCTATGTTTGTGGCTCTATTGTTGGGTGTCATGCTGCCATTATCTTAGTTTTTTCCTCATTTACTTGCAGGACCATATTTTTTGAGGCATGTGATAAGGTGGTATACATTTCTTCTTTGGCGGATTGGTTAAGGCTACAATGCGTAAAGTTGTTTGCAAAGTAGAAATACAAGGCGAACAATCACAGGCATTTGAAACGCATGTTGCGCTGCGACAGGGAGATGCGCTTGCGTGTCTCCTTTTCAACATAGCTCTGGAAAAGGCGGTCTTCTTCTTCTAGTTCCATGACCGTTATCGATCGTTGGATATCATGTTGGCTACCATATTCGCTATCGTGACTTTATTGACAGCAGCTCTAAATAACGATGTAGTTGATTTTCCATACCATTGCCTTAGATTTTTTAGCCATGATGTTCTTCTTCTACCAGAACCACGATTACCTTGGATCTTTCCCTGAATGATCAGATGTAAAAGATCATATTTTTCAGGGTGTCTCATAATATGACCGAAGTATTCCAGCTTGCGTTTCTTTATTATATTGACCAGTTGTGTTGTTTCGTTCAGCCGTCTAAGGACCTCCTCATTTCTAACTCTGTCGACCCAACTTATTTTCAGTAGTCGTCTGTATACCCACATCTCAAAGGCTGTCAAGCGTTTAAGCATAGCTTCAGTTAGGGTCCACGCTTCTACTCCATACAGCAGGACAGGAAAGATGTAGCAAGATATCATACGAACTCTAAGGTCAATGCTAAGATCATGACTGCAAAGTACGTTTCTCATTTTTACAAAATCAGCTCGGGCTTGATCGCATATGCGAAGAATACCGTCCTTTTGAATCAGAAGAACAAAACGGATTCAGAGCGGGACGATCCACAATAGATAGTATTTTTTGCTTATCCCAAATACTCGAGAAAAGAACACTGAGATCTCGAGAAGTGCATTTACTTTTAGTCGATTTAACAAAAGCATATGACACCGTGCCTGTTGCGAAATTGTGGGAAGTATTGGAGGCAATGGAAAAAGAAGTGTAAAGGGATGGGGCTGTCTATTGGGGATGAAACGTTATACACGCTGCATTATGCAGATGACCAGGTAGTTATTGCCCAAGACAAGGAAGACCTAGAGTATATGGCTAGAAAACTAATGGAAGAGTACAAAAAATGGGGCCTCGAAGTAAATTTACAAAAAACGCAATATCTTTGCATAGGAGGAGAAAATACTGCAGATGACCTCGACTTAGAAGACGGGAAAATTAAGAAATGCGATCAATGTATATATTTGGGGGTAAAACTAACAAAGACAGGAAGAACTGATGAAGCCATAAAAGACAGAATAACCAAAGGGAAACGAGTTATAGGTGCATTGAATTCAGTACTATGGCAGAAAAATATAAGACCGGAAACGAAAAAAAAGAATATATAACACAATATTGAAACCAGTAATCGTGTATGGCTCAGAAGTATCTCAGTTATCACAAAAACTTAAAGGTAACCTCTTGGCAGTTGAAATGGATTTTTGGAGGAGAGCAGCGGGAAAGTCTCGATTAGAACATGTGAGAAATGAGGACATAAGAAATCAAATGAATGTACAAAGATCAATTATAGAAAACATCGAAAAACAACAACTGACATGGTACGGACATGTTAGACGTATGGGGGAAGAAAGACTACCAAAAAAAATATTAGAATGGGTACCACCAGAGAAAAGAAAACGAGGACGACCACCAACAACATGGATGCAAGGAATTTCAAAAGCCATGTCAGCAAGAAATCTATTTGAAGAAGACTGGCAGAATAGACAGGCTTGGCGAACGGGAACCCAAAGGCGGATTACGCTATAAACGGGATATAATATATATATATATATATATATAATATATATATATATATATATATATATATATATATATATATATATATATATATATATATATATATATATATAGCTCGGGCTTGTTCTATTCGGCTTTTAATTTCTGCGGTTGGATCCCAGCTCTCATTGATATTACTGCCGAGATACACGAGTTTTCTCTACTCTGTCCAGTGTGGCATCTCCGACTTTTATACCGTCATCATGTATATAATTTTGTTTGCTAACTATCATATATTTAGTTTTCTTAACGTTGAGTTTTAATCCATACTGATCACAAGTCTGTTTTATTTTGTTCATTAGATTTTGAAGGTCTTCTCCGCAATTGGCAAGGACTAAAAGGCGGTCAGGGATGCCCAAATAGACAAAAGAGGAAACATTTTTAAGTTATATACTTACTGTCCACTATTTCTAAGACTTACACCTTACAAGGCAAACAAACTTATGGTGCCTGTGGGCCTTTACAGTTCATTGTCTTGCTTTGTCTTCTTATAGAGCCATATCTAGCCAAACGTTAAATATTTAAGCTATTATTATTATTCATGCTGACACCTAAACAGTTCAATGGGGATGCCGCAAAACTATTCACGGAGGTTTCCTTGTCGTGAGATTTTCCTTCTTCTCGATCTCTTTGCGTCTATTTTACCCTGCATGATCAGCTGAAGTAGGGTATATCGCCTTCCTGAGTCATTACCCACTCGGTGTAAATAGTAAGTTTACCAGTCAATCGGAATCTTTTAAAAAGCTTGCCCATACGTGCAGATTAGCCCAGTAAAAAATATTTTATGATGAAACATATGCAAAGAAAATTGTCCATTTGACAATGCAAGGATCTATCCTATTAAAAACCAAACCTAACAACAACACGGAAGAAAGATCAAAGAACTGCATCTATAAAATGTCCTATCAATACAACAATTTTTATGTGGGAGAAACCGCAAGAACACTAAGTGTCAGGATAAACGAGCATAAAACATACATAAAAAGCAGAGACTTCGACTAGTCAGAGGTGTGCAAACATGCCTAGGACAATGAACACAGAGTACAATGAAAAGATGCATCAATAATTATGAAAATACCAACTCAAATCATGTCGGCGATGGTGAGCGAGACAGCTACAAACTCGATACTCATGGGTTTTAGGGTCGCTAAACACTAATATCATATCAGCGATGGTCTCTATGGTACCTGGTGTTAAGAATGTGCCCCGTATCCTAAAGTTTGTGCATCATGATATTTGTAATCAGCGACCCCAGAAACCACCGAGTAACGAGTTTGCACTGATTTTGTATCAAATTTCCACAGAACTGTAGTATTTTTCTTGTTCAAAAAAGGCAATTTTCATTTCTACATTATCATTTTAGTTCACAAAATTTCCCGACACTCATACGAACCGAATACAACAAGTGGCATTGGTATCCATTCAACTGCAAAAAAATGGTAAGTTTATTGCTGCATTGCCTCATCTATAAGGAAAAAGTTTTGTCACAGAACATGCGATTTTATTTATAAAACAAAATTTAATTTTCATGCAGATTTCCATAGGAAACCCCACAGTTTTCGCATGGTTTACTCACTTGATTTCATCTACCAGTACTTTCAGGATATCTGGTTCAACTGTTTATCTATCAGTAACAAATAATAATCTTCTTCTTCTAGTGCCGTCTCCACTAATGAAGGTTGGCTATAACCATTGCAAATTCGACTCTATCTTCTGCTTTTCTTAAGGCGTTTGTGTGTTTACTCCGGTCCAGTCGCGAATGTTTTTCAGCCAGGATATTTACCTACCAGGACCTCTTTTTCCTTCGATTTTACCCTTCATAATCAGCTGCAACAACTCGTACTTATCATTTCTCAGTATGTGCCCCAAATATGCTGTCTTTCGCCTTTTAATAGTGGTCAAAAATTCTCTGTCTTTTCTTATTCTGTGCAACACCATTTCGTTCGTAATATGATCGGTTCATGGTATCTTCAAAATTCTCCTAAAAGGTCACATCTTAAATAATAATAAGTACTTAAATTGTTTCTCAGGCCATAATGAGATTGAGTCGATTTGGATAATTTTAAAAATATATAGATGGTTTCACCCCTACCAAATATAGAACTTGTCCTCCACGTGATAGTCCAATATTCTACTATCATGTCAGATGATATTGCAGTAAATTTCAGATTTTGCCAACGTATATCTTTCCTTATTATATAATTACACAAGGCTATGCCATACAGAAACATTTAAACATTGTAAATATGTGTATTTGTAAAAATGTTCATCACGATAATGCTGTATATTGTAAAATAAACTTTCTGAAGCAAAATTTAAACGTTTGAATACCAAAAATAGATCCAATGTTTACGAAATTGTCACGCCAATTTATACCAGTATGTTCGAAATTTTAGACTTACAGTTTGTATTACTAAAATCGTTAGAAAATGTATAAGGCGAGTACTGAAAACACGATAAGATTCTTTAGTAGAGTCCGTAGAGTCAGTTTTATAACAATAAATTAGACTATCACTTTTTAAAAGTGATACTTTCTGTATCATGTAATGTCACTAGGGCTTTATTAGGTAATTTCTGACATTCATTGTCTAGTCTTGTCGCAAAAGAGCCCCACGGTGAATATAATTTTTTGGTTTAAAAGAACTACGTTGTTGTTTGGTTTAATAAGGATTGTTTAATGGTTGATAATTATTTTATGTTGTATATTTGTAGTTATTTTCTTCTAAATCCATATGGTGATACCCGAGATGTATTTTAAATTAAATAAGAAAAAGCTTGTGAACCCCAGTGACATACTTTATACAGAATTGACAATCAATCTGAGACGGTTTAGTCAATTTCTTAACTTTTTGTCAATGAAAAAAATATTTGGTGGATATCAAGCTCCTTACAATCTTATTCTGAATTATTTTGGAAACCCAAGTATTCCAAAAGAATATGCTTGTAACGGAACATACGTACAGTGTTTTATTTAGTGTGTCTTAGGAATGCTTGGATTTCGATCACAGTGTTCAAAACCTGTGGGACTAAACAAGCCTCTGAAGAAGCCTTATAGTTACTCTTTACATTTATGGTAGGTATTATCCTTATGACAGTAATAAACGTCTAAGACGACACAAAGAAAAAATATTAAAATATAGTTTAACACGTAAATGCGAGAGAAACAGATCCCGTATTATGTTAGTATGTAACTATGAAATTTAAATAGAACATTACGTAACTCCTATCTCATCCTTATTATTTGTTCTTTATATTAGTAAATATTGAGCTGCTTATCGACAAAAATACGTAACAGACGTTGATTTTTGTCATCGGGATAACCTGTATACAAAAACCGGACGGAACAGCAAAATTTAACCACCATATACATCTCGCATAAAGCAGCATTTTATTTCAGATGTATCAGCCTTAATAGGTAAATTTCTGAAATCACAATAGAACGTCTATTTTGTACACCTTCCAAAAAATAAAAGTCCATCCTCCTCCCGAAATACCCCAGGATGGTTATTAATCACCTACATGGAGCCAGTAAGATTTCTAACCAACACGGACACGACGCGATCTCCTGTCTGCAATAATTTGGGCCCCATCCTGTAAACAAAAGAGAAATCGTTAAAAAAGTTATGGAAATCTAAATAAATTCTCAATTTAAAGCATTAAAAAACGTTATCTTTCAATAAAAAATTATCTAATGTTAAATGAGTTGCATATGTGAGTGCATTTCAATTAAGGTAAAAACAAATAAATAAAAGACTTTTAAGGCATAAAAGATGGCAGCTTCGCTAAGCCAGGGGTCGAAAGTCTTTGTGGTTCGTGAGGGTGCGGTTTAACCGTTGAATGTGTGGGAGAAAGAATGGGGATCAGGTGATAGCAGAGCATCAGGAGAGATGATTTGCCTTAACTAGCTCTTCCATCCTGATATCTGGAGTGACATAGAAGTATCTTACAATGTAGAATGGTATCGAACCAATAGTATTTATTTAACTTGTGACTGTTTTGGTTAAAAAAATTTAATTTTGTTATTTGCCAGTGGAGTAGATTTTTAAAAACATAAAACTAAAACACTTAATACGTAATAATTGTTTTTCTCGTTACGTTACATATTTATTGTTATTTCTAGGTGTTACTTAGTAGCTTACCTTTGACAAAACTTATCGTTATGGAATTAGTATCGATAGGCCCTATGTGCGGACGGGTGAAGTTCCATCCAAAATTTTGTTGAGCCGCCTTCACGGGGTCGTAAACACAAAGGCAGTGCTCGGCAGGTACTTTAGTAGGTGAGAGATAATCTGAATCCTCCAGAGTCAAGGAATTCACGAAGATGGGATTGTCCGAGCGATTGTATACCCAGACGCACTCATCTTCCCGAGATAGTGTTACTCCTAAAATAAAAAAAAAATTGTTATTCCAGTCATCGCATAGCGAGTAGTAGAGTAAGGTTAAGAGCTTTTCCCTATATTGTTTAATATATATTACATCGGAATTTGAATTACCAAATATAGAAGATACAGTAACAAGTATTAGAAGCTTACAACTTTTCAATTTAAATGTATTGAATTCAGTGGTCCCTAAAAATAAACACAAAAAAGACAAAATTAATAGCTATCACATATACTATCAACTACTTTGCAACTATTCACAAAAAATGAAGTCCCTGAACAAATCTAATCTATTTACTAAACGTCCGATACAAAAATATTTGCAAAATGGTACTGCAACGATTATTAATATATAAGATGTATAATCAAAGCATATAAGTAAAACCGAATATCAGATATAATATCAGATATATGATGTAGACTCGCTCTAACATGAAAAGCTTTTGCATGAAAAAATAACCTCTTAGTAAAAAATGTGTTAACGCAACGATGCAGACACATGAATGTAGATGTTTATGCATGTTTTATTGACTATCGAAAAGCATTTGACTGCGTTAACCATCAAAAGATGATCGAAATTCTAAGAACAACTGGTGTTGACAAACAAGACTTGCGAATTATCTCAGAACTATACTGACACTATACCTATAGCGACTGGTCCTGATGAAATTCCAACTGAAATACATAAGCTTATAAAGGATAGCAATGTTTTAGAGGCTATAACTTCGTTTTTCAATACCATTTATACCAGCGGACAACTACCTAATGGTTGGTCTAACTCACTGTTTATAGCTCTACCTAAGAAGACAACAGCAAAAACCTGTGCTGAATATAGAACCATCAGTTTGTTAAACCACTTATTGAAAATTTTTCTGAAGGTAATACATGGTCGTATCTACAATAAATGTGGGGAATACCTGGATGACACTCAGTTTGGTTTCCGTAACGGATTTGGAACGAGAGAGGCACTGTTTGGAATGAACGTACTTGCTCAAAGATGTCGTGATATATCTGTAGACATATACTGTTGTTTTATTGACTTTAAAAAAGGCATTTGATCGTGTTAAGCACTCTATATTGATCGAAGCTCTAAAAGACATTGGCTTGGACGGCAGAGATGTTCGAATAATTGCAAATTTATATTGGAATCAAACAACATCAGTTTTAGTAGATGGTGTGGAATCACAAGCTCTCAATATTAAAAGAGAGTACGGCAGGGATGCCTCTTGTCACCCCTGCTTTTTAACGTTTACTCCGAAAGAATTTTTAAAAAAGCACTTTCTGAAAAACAAGAAGGAATACTTGTGAACGGCGAAGTCATCAATAATTTGCGATATGCGGACGATACAGTACTCCTAGCTTCTAGTCAAGAAGATCTGCAAACACTACTTGATAGTGTCGTTGAGAGTTGTAGGGAGGCAGGTCTGGATCTTAACATAAGGAAAGCCAAAATACTTGTAATAAGTAAACAACAGAATATAAAACCGTCTATATATGTAAATAATACCAAACTTGAGCAAGTTGATAAAATCGTCTACCTTGGACAGCAATTAAATTGTAATGCAGAAAATCACGGCGAAATTAGATCCAGAATAGAGCAGGCTAGAGCTGCTTTTAGAAAGATGTCCAAGTTGTTATGTAACAGAGACCTAAAATTGGCATTAAGAATCCGCCTACTTCGCTGCTACGTGTTCTCGGTCTTACTTTATGCTGTCGAGTCCTGGACTGTGAATAAAATCGATCTAAATCGCCTTGAGGCTTTCGAAATGTGGTGCTATAGAAGAATTTTAAAAGTTTCCTGGGTGGAGAAGATTCGTAACTCCACAATACTTGAACGTCTCAGCAAGACCACTGAGATCATAAAAAGCATCAAGCAGAGAAAGCTGGAATATTTCGGACATGTAATGAGAGGTCCCAAAAATAGATTGCTACAAAATATCATGCAAGGAAAAATAGCAGGCAAACGCAGTCCAGGACGAAGAAGAACCTCATGGTTGAAGAACTTGCGAGATTGGTATGGTGTAGATACAAGCATGCTATTTAGGGTGGCAGTGAATAAAATTAAAATAGCTATGATGGTAACCAACGTTCTGAAAGGACATGGTACATGAAGAAGAAGTCACCAAACGGCAACAATTGAAATAGAGCACACAACATTCGAAGATATACAAATCCGACGAGAAGTGAGACAGGGTTGCGTCTTATCACCGCTACTGTTTAATTTGTATTCGGAGTCTATATTCAGAGAAGCGTTAGACCGGGTCCAAGGCGGAATTAAGATTAACGGAATCAGCATAAACATGCTGATGATACTGTCTTAATAGCCAGCAACGCACAAGAACTACAAAATATAATAAATGAGGTATTTTTTTATAGTTCACCACAGCGAAATGTTCGGTTTACTTCTAAACGTTTCCAAAACTAAAACTTTAGTATTTTCAAAGATGTACATGTGTATGCCATTGGTCAAATAATAGAACAGGTAAATTCCATAAAATATTTGGAAGCAAATATAAATATCCACTAGGAAACTAAGTTCCTGTAGCTAGCTGTATACCATGTATCACGAAAATTTTATTTCAAATCCTTTTATTATAAAAGGTATATATTTATTTATTTAGCGTATGGCAATTTGATACACAACATTATCACATATATGTTACAATCTAACATCTAATGTATTAATATATTCAATCGACGCTGGTGTTGCAGAGGCGAAGTCTAGAGGATCTCCATACTACTTCCTCCGAGAGCATTCGGCAATCATATGCTGGATGGTCTGTTTCTCGGCGCCGCAGTCGCACTCAGCAGAGGTTCTCATCCTCCATTTATAAAGGGAATCTGCGCAGACTCTATGACCCGTTCTTATCCTGTTAAGAGTTGACCATGATTTTCGGGGGAGGTCAAAACCTGGTGGAGTTTCTGTGATGCATGGTGTGTTTCTCATTATTAGGTTCGATCTGTCGCTCTGCATGTTCTTCCACTGGGAGTTCATTTGAAAATTGTTGGAACTCAAGTTTATTGCATCTCTAGTCGGAGGTTTTCTGGAGCGCAATCCATGTGAATTAGCGTCGGCGACATATGTGTGTATAGGTAATTGCGGGTTGTTAAGCAGCTTTTGGAATTCTCTAAGCAGAGCATGCTGACGACGAAGATTAGGTGGAGGTATATGGCTCAGTAGTGGAAGCCACTCCACAGGTGTAGACTTGATCGTTCCAGATATGAGACGCATGGCGACATTGAGCTGGGTATCTATAATTTTTGTGTGAACGCTATTCAGCCAAACAGGAGAGCAGTATTCAGCTGCGGAGTATACGAGTCCAAGAATTGAACACCGAAGTGTACCTGCTGATGAGCCAGGTATATAATAAAAAGGTATATAATAAAATACCCAAACGGGCTATCACAATTACATTACAGAACGTTTTCGGAATGTTAATTCCATCAACCATGTTAATTCCAGCAAATTAAAAAATACTTAGCGACAAAATAGAAGAATATAAGAATCGAGAAAAAGTGATTCAAAACTTATACAAAGATATGATACAATGTGTTAAACTTTATAGGGAAATATCTTTAAACTGACTATAATACATTTTATATACAATTCAGTTCGCAGACGATCAGATGATATGTGCAAATGAAAAATAATATCTTCGTAAACTACACGGAAACTTGGTTAATGCTTGGAATACACTTATGGAATAGTTTGGAAAGTGCATCACTTACCTAAACCAATTTTACACCTAGCTTTTTCAACCGTTGACTTGGGAGGACTAAAACTATGTCGAGCTAAGGTTTCTAAGCTAAGGCCATCGGGATGGGATACGTTTCCAAAAATATTCACGGCAGGAGGCTCCACAGGGAAGAGTGGACCGACTCGATTAGACAATTCCCAATAAGCTAGCCTACACCATTCCAGGGGATTCACAGAATCTGAAAAAATATTACCAATTACTATTGATAAAGTTGTAAATAAAAATATTGTTAAGATAATCTAAATATTTCTATGGATTTATTTAGAGTATTTAGCTCTTTTACGTGCTTAAGAAATAAGCGGTTGGTGTTCTTCTTTTTACATTTTAACAGACCATTGATTTGCCTTTCATATTTGTTATCTTACTACCTCTTATATATTAAATACCGTTGTAATTGATAAACGAGTTTTTTAAACATTATTATGAGGATTTTTATACTTAGAACTGGTGTCACTAATGTTGTGATTTTTTTTGTATATGCAGTTATTTTTCTAAGAGTTCTTATTAGGTTAGATCAATTGAATGCTATGTATTTCATTTTAATCTCTGATTTTCATTTACACAACAATTTGCATTTTTTTTTCATTAATATTAATATTTTATATTTTTTTCAGTTGAAATATATTGAATAATTATTTTATCTCCTTGTTCTCCAATTTTTGCCTTGAATAGTGAATAATTTCGTTTCTTAGTAAATAGCTAAAAGATATCGAATACGTCCCTGTCCACTACTTTCATTTTTAGTTCAAAAATAATCCTAGACGCGCCACTGTCAATCACTATTAGAAAATTTATCTTAGAGCAAATAAATATTGGTTGAGTCAACATGTATTATAAATCCCAAGATAAATAGCGTGCAGATTTCTGACTCCAAAAAGTTGTAAGGTTACAAAACAATAATTTTTTATGTAATAGGTGTTTAAAAACTTTATAAAATCAAATAAGCACAAAATATCACGTTTTTTAGTTAAAAGTTTAGTATTTTGATGAGAAAATGTAACAACGATTTTTTTTGAGTATCCAAAATGAAGGATCCAAAATGTATAATGAAGTAGAATGCAAATGAAAATTATGTATCTCCAGCAAGTCTTAAAAAAAATATACAGATCAACGAGAAAGTTACCATAAGCAAAAAAATTATATTTTTATTAAGTTGCATGGATGTTGGAGGTGAAATTATGTACGAAAAATAAGAGATTTCCATGATAAACATAAAAAATTATACTACATATTTGGACGATACGTGACTACATGCAGGTATTACAGTTGGAAACATATGACAGGATAAAAATATAACTACTCCTTAAGATTACTTAAACTGACTAACTATAGGAATTAAAGCACCTTCTGATGAAGGAAAAATACTAATTATTCCCTTCTTCTTCGTGCGACTAGGATTACTCCTGTTTCTCTGCCTCTTATTCTGTTTCAGTCGTTGTTGACTATACATTTACATTATCTTTCCAACTTTTTGGCGACTTTCCAACGGGTCTTCTGCTATACGGCTTGTTGTTTTTACATATCTTCGCTAATCTGTCTGGTCCCATTCGGTTTACATGTACGTTTCAGTTTTTTTTCTTGTTTTTATCTACTTGTTAATATTTTGAATTTTGCATTGTTCGCGTATACTTCTGTTGGTTTGTCTGTCTCTTAATGATATGCCCGCTATTGATCTTAATACTTTCATTTCGATATTGTTAATTTGTTGTTTCGTCTTTCTTGTATCGGTCCTTGTCTCCGCTGCATATGTTAGGATTGGTCTTACTGTTGTCTTGTATACTTTCATTTTGCTTTCCATGGTCAGATATTTGTTTCTCCATATCGTTTCTCGGAGGCAACCACTTACTCTTGCCGCTTTTGATGCTTGCCTTGTGGTATCTGTTCTTATATCCCTGCCACTAATGATCTCTACTCCTAGGTAATTGAATTTCATTACTTGTTCTACAATTTTGCCGTCTATTTCTAGTTTACATCTACGCGGCTCTTTACTGATCACTATACATTTAGTTTTTTCTACTGATATTCTCATATTAAGTTTGTTTGCTGTGATATTGAAGGTGTGGAGCTGCCTTCTAAGGTCATCTTCGATATCACCAATTAGTACTGCATCATCGGCATAGCATAGTATCGTAATTTTATGCTCTCCCATGTGGTACCCATGTCGTTTTCTTACTTCGTGAATTATTTGATTCATCACCATATTGAATATTAATGGGATGAGAGAGTCTCCTTAGCGGATTCCTCCTTTTAGTTCTATGCATTCTGTCTCTCCTGTTGGCATTATAACTCTGGTCTTGTTGTTCTTGTTAATTTCATTAATTGTCCTTATTATCTGATGGACTATTTGTTCAGCTTGTAATAAATTTAGGATGTCATTTCGCTTTACCCTATCAAAAGCAGTTTTTGAATCTACAAAGCACATGTATACTGGTTTTCCATATTCAATAGACTTCTCTATTATTTGTCTGATAAAAATAATTGCGTCTATTGTGCTGCGGTTCTTCCGAAAGCCTTGTTGTCCTCCATATTTTAGCAGTTCATTGTTTATCTTATCAAGACCAGGTGCTTTTCTGTTTTTTAATTTTTTTATTCGTTCTTGTAGCTCTTCTTCTGATATTAGTAGTTTATCGTGAGTTTCGTTAATGATTTTTTCTCTGTTCTCTTCTTCTCCTTCTCCATATAATTTCGTAAAATGCTCAGTCCATTGTTCCTCAGTAATGTAATCTACGTGTACAAATTTATTCCCAAAATTCGTAATATAGATGTCTTTTCAAGTGATGGACTAACATTACAGTCAGTTCACGTTGCTGATTACCACAAAGATATGAATGATCATATTTTTAATCCTTTGAGCCAATGATAGCGCCAATTGTATGCATCCTGGCTAGATTCATAAAAAGAGACACCATGTAACTGGGCCATTGATTCATAATATGCCTAGGAAGATTCAACAGTTCTTATAAATTTACTATTTTTGTTTAAGGCAACAATGTTTTGTTGTCTATTATGTTTTTATTTCGATGAGTTTCTGTCTTTAATATAATGGAGAGCAACTGATATTTTCCTTGTCTTCCCTAGCTCATTTGTATCTCTCCAAGTTCCATATTTTGTTCTTCTATCTTTTCGCAGAACCTTTTTTGATGTAAAAATTTTAGTCGTGTCCTAACTGTTCTATTTTTATTCCCTCTTCTGACCTACAATCTTACCGACCTAAATACTACTGATTTTGTAGAGCCCGTATCGGTATGTTAAAATTGTAACATAAAAACACTACTACTTCAAACTGCATTTACTATAAATTTTATACAAAAATCTGTTTTTGTATATTGTTAAATCTACAAGACCCAATCGGTTACCCCTTTCGACTCGTCTTTTTGCCGGATTAGTGCGGTCCTTCAAGCGAACAAACGGGGGCAGCAGACGGTTAGCCGAGTGAGTGAAGTATGACCGGTGTACACAACCCATATCCGAATAATAAAAGGTGTAAAAGTTTAAAAGTGGAAGGAACGAGCAAGCCGGTGTAGAGGTGGCGACAGTCGCGCGCTAACTTCTTCAGGGACGGTTCTTTGATGTCGATCAATGAATCGAATCACCGGATTGAGTGAAAAAAATAATTTTAAAAGTGCAACATTGATGTAAATTAATCAATATAAAAAAGTCTCGAAAAGAGATGTATTAAAAAACACACACTGCAATTTGTGGCGGAACTTGCTTCTCATTGACTGAACAACCAGTATTATTGACGAGCGAATGAGCGAAACAGGCTAACTTAAAATGCGTTGCAGCTTAAGTATACGTGTATTTTCGTAGATACTGATGTATATATACTCCATCTAATTTACTTACCGTTGCACGTCATTATCATTGACAGAGATCAAAGTTGACATAGTATAAAAAAAATCCTGAATCCATTTTAAATCAAATAGGTCACATAATTATTGCAAAAGTATTACCATCTCTTTACAACGACTATTTAAATTCTTACGTGACATTTTTGAAATATAACACACTAATTTTGTTCTAAAAAGAACAGATTTTATTAAATAGGCAAAAATATAAATCAAGAGGTATTCACTTTAAAATTCAAAATAATAAAGTACAAAAAGTGTCAACACCGCAACTGTCAAATAAGTGTTACTAATTTATGCCAAAATATTATCACTTTCGTTCGATTACAGTTACAGTGTGTTCCGAACAAATGTTTTTTCATAAAACGTTTGATAATGCATTTATACAAATTAAATGAAACATATTATTGTGTATTTCTTGTAATGTTAACATTAATAGAAACGTTTAAATATTATTGCTACGCGTATATAATAAAATATGTCTAGTGGCTGTAATGCCAGTGTACTCGGCAAAGTGATTCTAAAAAAGAGCCGCCTAAATATTTCGTGTTGGTATCATGTGACCTCACAAACTATGAAAGAGTATTGCGGCATTTAGAGGATGTCTCTTTGCATGCCACTTTCTTCGCAAGAAGATGCTAAAGGAGAGGCAATATGAGAAGTAAGATTTCCCACTTGCTATATTACACGCTACAACGATTTTCAAACTTGTCACACATTTCGAAAAAAAAAAACAATACATTCTTTCGAAACGATTTGTTAGGGACGAATGCTGAGAATTACTGTTTTAGCCCTAAGAATAAATTAACCAGTTCTAGTATAACTGAAAATGCACAAAAAACTGCTATGCTTCGAGATCATGTTCGAGATGCTACTTTCGATACGCGTTTTTGAAAAATAGTCTTTTATTCGTAATATATGGAAGGTAGAAGGAATCGAAACCGCTAAAAGTATTCTGTTCCTGGTGAAGATTATCGAGGCAGCTATGCTTAGATAAATTTCTGACAGATCGTCAACAATGTTGATTTTATTTTCTGAAACTATCAAATATTCTATTCTAATATTATTGTACATTGTATTAACAAAATGAAGGAAGTAAAAAAGAATGATAGCGGAGAAAGAGAGATTTGTCATAACCTGAGCAATTATAAAACTGGACTGTTAATGATACTACTTAATTTACTAATCAGTTAATTGATTTTGTTATTAAAGATAAACAAGCATTTAAAACAAAAGGTTATATATAAATATGAGTCAAAAATATAATGAAAATACTTGATTTAGTTGAAAAGTCTTATAATTTCGAAATGATTAAGTAAGCTACATGGGA